GACAAGTTCGCCGTCATAAACAACAGCCGCTCACTGGGCGAACCGAGTCAGATGATGAGCCGATATAAAACCAGGATTGTTTCATTTAGTCACCCGGAATGTCGCCGACAGCTTGGCTGACTTTAATAAGCTAGTATGGCGCCGATGTCTTACGTTAGCCTTAAGGCTAGATAGCGGCTAGCATGGTTAGCTTCAACAAAATGACCAGGATTGTTTCATTTAGTCACCCGGAATGTCGCCGACAGCTTGGCTGACTTTAATAAGCTAGTATGGCGGCGATGTCTTACGTTAGCCTCAAGGCTAGATAGCGGCTAGCGTGGTTAGCTTCAACAAAATGACCATGATTGTTTCATTTAGTCATCCGGAATGTCGCCGACAGCTTGGCTGACTTTAATAAGCTAGTATGGCGGCGATGTCTTACGTTAGCCTCAAGGCTAGATAGCGGCTCGCATGGTTAGCTTCAACAAAGTGTTCAGAACAAACAAAGAATGGGCGAGGTATCTGGACGGACGGAGTGCGATTAGCTTTTGCTGATTCGTGATAGCCACAATCTCCATTTTTTTTTTTTTAACCCCGACAAACAATCCACATCTCAATTTTCAAATGATAACAAATTTCGCTGCCCGTGACTCGCCACAATGTGATCGTCACCCCTGGCCCGGCTGGCGCCGGACCAAAGACGCACTCGTCAAAGGATTTTCCCTCATGCGCGATTCGGGGGTTAAACTTAGACATTGTAAAACACACGGGAACTTCATTTCACGGCAGGAAGTTTTGTCTGCCGGCTTTCAGCAGCGGGTCGGTCGGACGAGTGAGCGAGCGAGCGCTCCCTGTAGCTGCCCAGCGGGGAACCCCATGTCTACTAAAACAAAACGGCACCGCTGCGTATAGAATTGAACGTGTCCTCGACAGAATGTAACCTATAAGACAAAAAAAAAAAAAAAATCTGATAAGTTGCACATGTCCGTCCATTTCTCCTCATCCCACTCTCCACTGGGACCGCACGAGTCTGACGTTCGCTTTGTTCTCCCACTGACTAATAAAATGGAAATGAGTGGGCAGAGTGCACATTAGGGTGGGTCGCCGTGCCGACGCTTTTTGCGTTCGTTTAAAGGTGCAAACTTTACCGTAACTTCGCACGGGCGGTCACCAAGACTCCATGCGAGAGAGCCAAGATGTTCGAGTCTCATTTCGGTTTCAATATTTAGCTTCATTGCCGAGATTAAAGTTGGGATTAGTTTTATTTTAAGGTTGGGGTTAAAACCAAATGGCAGGACAAGCAAGGATTAGGCGTGCGTGCGTGCGTGTGTGCGCTTGACACACTGGGCAGCGAGTCGTGCCCGTCGGCCGATTCGAACATCTGTCAGCTCAAATATCAAAGCGGCCACGAAGCAAACTCGCCACAAATCACCGATGGGCATCTCACGTCACCGCAGCGCATCGGTACTGCGCTGCTGAACCGATTTAGTTGAGTTCACACCCATTTTAGACCCTAATCCCAATCTGAGTCGACTGGGAATGCAGTCGCCCACAAACCCGGTGGGTGGATGCTTCAAAAGTGAGCGGCGGTCCATCCTCAAGAATTCAGGACTGAGTTTTTTTTTTTTTTTTGAAGTGGAAGCAAAAAAAATAAAATAAAAAGAATGAATGAGGGAGGTTGAAAGACGGCGTCGTAAAAAGAACAAATGAGCGACCTAATGTCGGCGCGGGTGAAAGTGAAGGGGGATCAAGGAAATCATTTCAGACAGAGAAGCGGGTTAGCGGGTCACAACGGAGCGAGCGAGAGAGAGGGGAGGGAGCATCCGCAGTCATTTGACTGAAGTGATCGGAATGCGCGGCCTCACCTTGGAAACACTCCGTCCCGATCGGATTCCCCTGTCCGTCAAAATCACCGTCAAAATGCTCGTTATACATTTTAGTTTTATTTTTTTTCCTTGTACTTGTGTTGTAATAAGATGAGCGCGAGGCCACGGGCACCGAGCAATAGCCCGCATATGTTTTTGGTCCAGCGTGCCATGTGAGAGGAAGAGGAAGCAGCACGGCTTACGCTTCATCAAACGCCTTCACGTTTTTCCCTCGCTCGTACAAGCCATAAGAATGCGCCGCGTATAAACACTCCGCTACAAGGATAAACTATCACGAGGCCGACGGGGGCGCTCTGAAAATTGCCGACCGCATAAGATGAAAGCGGCCATCTTGATCCCGGCGTAGCCGATGTCCTCCAGCAATTGATTGGACGCAAAACGACTGGGAAGAGGATACAAAGTATCAAGCTCATGCTTCCAAACTTGACAAGAAAGATGATTCTGAGCTTTCTGGCTAGACTCCAGGAGAGTTTCAAAACAATTTTCAGAAACTCTCATTTTCTGAGCCCAGTGAAATCTGGCAGTGCCATCACGGGGGGGAAACCCCCAACCCCGCCCCCAAAAAAAAAAAAATCCCAGAAACTGACAGAAAATTCTTCTCTCTTCCTTTGTTGAGAATCAAGTCCAAATCAGCACGCAGGCTGGCACGGTGACAACCGGGCTTGATTTGCATCACATCATCCATTTCTATGGAGCTCCATTTAAAATCTGGACTCGTCAGACCACAATTTTTTTTGTTGTTGTTGTTGTTGTTTCCACCACTGCTCCAGATTCATATCAATTTGGACTCACAATTACTTTTCCCTCAGAATGAGGACTTCTCGTTTTAAGCTCTTGGTCATCGAACTCCTCCGAAAGGTGCCTTTGTTGCCCACGCGTTGTGCACCGAGGAACGAGCAAAACACTCGCCCTAGCAAAGGCCGAAACGTAGCATTATCCGAAACGTTGAGCATTGATATCCTGAAGCGGTTAGACACTCACGGAGAACATCAACATCGACAGCGACCGACCACCGCGAGAGTACGTTGCGTTTCCTCGGTGGGGGGGGCTGGAGCGAAGGTCTAGTTGAAGCTGGGCCGCATCAGGTTTTCCGCAAAAAATGCCTGCATATGACGTCGACGACACCGTTCGTGATTGGTTGGATGTCAGAAACCATGGAAACACAAAATTAAATAAAATAAATAATGTAATGCAGTTTAAAAAGTTTGGCTAGTAGCTAGCTAAAGCGAACGCGGACACATACACATAAAACTTTGCTTGTGTGTATGTAATAATGCTAGCTCCGTGTTAGCATCTTAGCACTCGTTTTCCCCGTTCTTGTGCGTGTGTAACATCGGTTTGGGGCACCGTGGGCACGGTCACGTTGCCACTATCGTTTCGAATGAGACAGTCCCTAACGATTCAAAACGGAGGTAGTGCTAACACATACGGCATCCATATCAAACTCGAGCGGGCCGCGCTAATGACTTTCATATCAAGGCGGGGGCCTCCAACTCGGTGGCCCGCGGGCCGCAGGTTTGAGACGTCTGGTTGACAGGCACGAGCGTTTGCTCTTGCAACCAAAATCAGGCTATTCAGACCCCGGGGAAGATGTGACGACTCCTTCCAAAGTAAACAGTGCTTCATTTCATGGCGAGTGTCTGTAAAAGTAACCCTTTGGCCATGATGGGATTTTTTTTTTCTATTTTTATTTATTTATTTTTTGCGTAAACTGTTCACTGATTGTTGCTCATCTCCTTTGCTTCTACGCCGAGAAAGTCACAATCACCGCAATATATTCTCGCGGTCCGCTCGTCAGTTTTTTTTTTAGGTTTTTTTTAGCCTTTATCTACGTCATGTTCTGCTCACGCCCCGATGAAAACTGTGAAACTGAATTGTTGCAGCCCCCCCCCCCCCCCCCCCCCCCCCCCCCCCCCCCCCCCCCCACACCCCCCCCCCCCCCCCCCATACTGGCACGCAACTGGCCAAAGCCGCGGTACCGAGTTAGCCTCGAGGTGCATCCGATGTCCTTTTCAAGAGCCTGTAAAGTCGACGTGCGGCCTCGGCGCATGCCTCGTCTTCTTCCCCACGTCCTAAATCCTCAGCCTGCCGTGCGTCTGCACGCCGCTGGCGGGGGGCATCCCAACTCGCCGCTGCAACAGCTGTTTTATCGCCTCCGTGCGCCGACACGCACTGTCACGCACTCGAGTGGAGTGTCAGTGACGGACGGGGGGGGGCGGGGGGGACGTGTGTGAGGGACTGCAGCAAAACGATCACACCCGCTTAACGAAGCGCAAGTGAAGTTATTTCGCTTTTCATTTGCAGACCCCCTTTTTTGATTGGCATACGCAGGCACACAAGGATCATTTGAGCAATCCATGAACACGACAAGCACACTGATGATCGCGACGCTCCGGAGCAGTTGTCCATACCTGTCGGGCAATCTGATCGGGGAAACAAAATTATATTGTCGGACTTACGTAACAAGTTGCTGCACAACTAAAGGTGCCTTTAAGGCATAGAAACATGCAAGAACCGTTTACCGGATGTGAGGTGCGTTCCAAATAAAGACGGAGAAACTTTTTTTTTTTTTTTTTTAACTTTGCCCACTGGTACACACAAAATCTTTTTTTTTAACTCTTGTTAAAATGCAAAATACGCTTCCGGGTCTTTCCGAAGCATCAAGTGAAATGATGATCTAGTTGAATCGTCTTTACATTTCCCCCCCCAAAATACCATCTCGACCACATCAGCTCGTTCCACTCCCTGAAACACGTCCACACGCCTTGCCGCACAGCTCCAGGGGACGCTGGCAATATTTATGCGCAACTTAAAGAAACCCAACCCTCTACCTGCACAAAGACACGGGGAGTCTCTTTTCCCTGCCCAGTCTCATTTTTTTTTTTTTTTTTTTGTCATGTGGCTTTGTATTGGAGGAACGAAGCTTTTGAATACATAACGTGTGCAGCTGTACAAAAGGTAAATATTTACTCTCGGAGCACTTTGGAGCTTTTTTTAAACCCGCCAAGATGAGTTCATTCAGAAGTTTTTGCAAGTGGACTCTTGAGGACTACCTGCTGCTAAGAGCTTTTCGGCATCTTTTGTTTTTTTTTTTTTTTTTTAAGTCGGTATCAAATAAATTTTAAATTGTCCTACCGTAATAAAGGTAACCATAGCATCGGCCGGTTAGTATCCAACAGAGTCGACATGAAGGTAATTCTTGGACCGAATCCTTTGGGCGAAAACTTCTCTCTCACTGAGGAGGTTCTGCAGAGTTGCCTGCACACCACCACCGCCACACTGGTTCTGGAAGGAAGGGAGAGGATCAGGGTGTGCGTAATTCTCGCTCCCTTCGTCCCTCCCTCCCTCTCCTCCCCCCCTTTTCTCACCGCTTCCGACATAATCCACACACACTCTCTGTCTGATGCAGGACAGATGGCTCTCGGCGGCGCATGTCGCCGCCGAGAGCGGTGTGTGGTGCGCGCAGAACTATGTCCGGAAGACCGAGCAAAAGTTTGTCTTGGTTTTTTTTTGTTTCAGTTTTATTACTGTCAAGTGGTTGGACGGAAAAGTAGATCGACTTGAAAAGTTTGTTTTTGCTCTTTGTTGGGGACACAAGGGCTTGAATGACTGAAATGTTGTTGTTGTTTTCTTGGAAGTCAAAATCAGTCATTTGATTTTTTTTTTTTTTTTTATTCCCAGTGCAAAACAGCGCCATCGACCAATCACGTAAAGACATTTTGACGGACAGGCAAAAACAAATAAAGACAAGCGATTACGGATAAGTCTGCGACAATTTCCTGCCGGTCTTGATGTCAGTAGATGCGGCCTGATTTTGAGCATGCTGCATGCCAAACTACTGGTTTGATTTGACGGAGTTTTTCGACATTTACCGTATTTTTACCGGATTATAAATCTGTTTTTTTCATAGTTCGGCTGGGGCTGCGATTTGTGTGTGAAATGATTAACACATTATATCATTTCACATGCTATTTTCCACATTAAACCACAGGAGGGCGCTCTAGGCCGGTGTTGATAAGTCGACAATGAGTCTTTCATAAGCGACGTAGAAGAAGAAGTGCGGCAATTTTTCCCTCCGGGATTTGCGCAGTTGTTTAAAAGTGACACAGAATTTTCATTTCGTGATTTGAAGTGACATTGATGGTTTGGTCAATTTTTTAGCATGTTCTTTATGCTATAGTTATCGGAATAACTCTTATGTTACGTGAATATACCAGGCACGTTCCCGGTTCGTTTTTGACGCGTCATGTAGCATTAGCATATCGTCCGCTTATTCAGCCTGTTGTTCCCCATTTTATTTTTAGATTTAATCACCTTTCAAGATGACATGTGGTGTTGGATTTTATCAAATACATTTCCCCCCAAAAATCCGACTTAAACTCCAATGTGACTTGGGTTTATTTTTCGTCTTTATTCTGCATTTTATGGCTGGTGCGATTTGTACTCCGGAGCAATTTGTAATCCGCAAAATACGGTCATTTAATAAAAAAAAAAAAAAAACTTTTTAGCTCAACATTGTTTCCGTCAAGAACCAGCAGTCATGTGGCACTTTGAAGACTTGTTTGTCATGTCAACATGAACTGCGTGCAACTATAAATGTGGTCTCTTGTTTGGAAACAGAAAGCCATACTATACGTTGCTCTGTTTCCCCCTCCATGACCAAGCATTCATCGTGCATCACGAGGGCTCCCTACTTGTGCCCCCACCGCCCTTTTTTCCCAGCGTCATCGCTGTAGCGTGTCTTGCATATTTAATGTCCAAAATGGCAATGCTTTTCTTCACGCGGCCCTCTCGGGCTCCCTCCGCATGACGCCAGGCTGAGTAATTATTTTTCCTGGACTAAAGTGAAGTCATCAAATATGCAAGCAGCAAGGAGGGGGATGGGGAAGAAAGTTTTACTTGGATGAAGCGGGAGAGGACAAGAAAAGACACGTCAGCTGACAGACGAGATGATGTGACTCGGCAAAGATGACGAGCGCAGTGATGTCAGGGGAGTAAGCAAATTCATTTCGGATCACGCCCCAGCGGCTGTTTTAATCACAGGCAAATTTGTCTTGACTTTTAGAACCCGATTGTCCTGCCACGACAAAGAAATTGAGCAGGTGCACTCATGTTGAAGCCACTTCGGCCATTTTAAATACCGAGTGAGCTTTCCCGTTTGAGGACGCGGCCCGTTTTTTATTCCCGCCGGTGCTTTACGGTTCATTCTGACAAGCAAGAACGTAAAACTCCCGTCCGACAATAAAACTCCTCATGGAAGAGTCCCATCTGATCAGCGCAGCCAAGTATCAAGTATCCCACAACTGTATGCAGCCTCCTTTAAAGGAATGTGTAGTTGCTGGCATGTTGCTCTGTATTATATACAATAAGAAAGACAAGCGCGTACTTCAGCAATACATTTTTTTTTTTTCAAATGGACGCCTCAGATACCTCAAATCGGAAAGCGGCAGATGAATTAAAACCTGACGAGGTTCAAATTGTTTGCGCGGTGGACGCGCCTCGGATAATTAAACGGATGGATCACACACACACACGCGACAATGGCAAAGCACAAATGAATGGGGAGCGTGTTTGCCATCTCGATGTTGATTTTGGTTGTGGGTGGCGGGAGGGGAGGGGTTGTGTCTTTGCTCTATTTTTCAGAGGAAAAAGCGGAGATGATTATCAGAGCAGAACACTGCATTATTTATCCCGCACTCTATCTGAGGGAGAGAAGCATGAGGAAGGAATTGTGGATGGAGAGAAGGTGTCACAGTTCTGTACGACAATGAAAAAAAAAAAAGGAAATGAGTGAGTAATGTAAAGAAGGGCTGTTGGGGTTTGTTGGAAGATTTCCACCAGGCCCGTGGACACTTTTTTGAATTTAAATAGGAAATGATGAAAATGGAACTCTTCTGGGAATCATTTAACTGAACCGTTTCATGCGCCAATCATGATAACATGATAAGCTGTCCACTGTAGTAACCGCTGTCCCTCAAAGGTAACCTTAAAAATACATGAACCTTCTTGATAACATTTTAAAAAAATCCAAATAAAATGAATAAAAAATGCGAGTGAGTCAGAATAAGTTATAACACGGCATAAATAACCTAAACTGCTCCATTGCCTCACCGGCCAAATTTGACATTCACCACAGCGTGTCCGACCCGACATGAAACTGGCGTTGATCAAGCTAACCGTTGACGTGAAAAGGCGTCGACGTCACATCAAAGGAATGCATCGATGACGACGACGCCGCGGTGATTAACGGTCTGACGGCGCTTGAACCGGACATGACGCAACACCAAATTACTAACCGCACAAAAACTCTCAGAGGTTGAGGGGGATGCTATCGCTAACCCGTTATGCCGGACGACGACGCTGCTTATCGCTATCAATTTAATAATCTTACAAGCGCCATCTTGAATGCTGCCTCCTGCTCAGACTGCCTGTGTGCAAAAGTGCTCCGGTGCGTTATGAATTAGTCAGGGTTAATAAAGCCTTTTGAATTTTTCAAGTCGGAATAAAGTGCTTTGACGCCATGAAAAATCCAAGCATCATTTTTTTTGGGCTGCGAATTTGCTCAGCGGGGTGTGGCCACATACAGTGCTGTGAAAAAGTATTCCCCATCCTTCCTCTCCTGATTTTTATGAAAGTAGGCTACAAGATCTCGAGCAACAAACGCATCGTGTCACGATCTGAAGAAATTAGAAAAAAGTTACTGAAATCTAGTAGTCTGCGGAAGCCCCAAACTCTTGAAAATGCTTTGTAACCTTTTCCAAATCATTGTTAGAGCCTTTATCCACAAATGGAAAAAACTGGGCAAACATTCCCAGGAGCGGTCGACCAGCTAAAATTCCTCCAAGAGTGCGACGACGACTCATTCAGGAAGTCGCTAAAAGAACCTAGAACAGCATCCAAAGAACTCCAGACCTCGCTGGCCTCAGTGTTCACGACTCTAGTATAAGAAAGACACTGGCCAAAAATGGGAGAGTTCCCAGGCGAAAACCGCTGCTGTCCAAAAAGAACACTAAGGCTCGTCTTACATTTCCCAAAAGACATCTTGATGAGCCTCAAGGCTTTTGGAAAAGCATTCCGTGGACTGATGTATCAAAAATTGAACTTATTGGAAGATGTGCGGCCCTTTACGTCAGGGGTAAAAATGATCCAGCATTTGATAAAACGAACATCATGCCAACAGTGAAGCATGGCGGTGTCTGTGGCTGCTTTGCTACATCAGGACCAGGACAACTTGCCGTGATTGTAAAGGAGAACATCTGACAATCAGAACACAGAAATCAGGAAGGGGGCAAATACTTTTTCACAGCACTGGAGATTGAAAATAATGACTTTGCATTTCGGTCTCTAAAACAAAAAAAAAATATATGTTTTGGATTCATTTTATTGTAAAATTACGACACACTGTAAAAAAACGATATTGACATTTACGGCAACAATTTTCCGAGTGACGCGTATCTTTCAGCTTCTGCAGTTCAATCCAACTTTCACTGACTTGGTGGATGACTTTTTTTTTTTCATGACTCAGCATCCCTTTGTGACGTTTCCACACAGCAATTAACCTTTACGCCGTTTCCGGCACAGCTTGCGTGAGTGCAAAACAGGGCGTTGGTTTTCGAACATCGGTGCCAGGCAAAACCTACCCCCCGAGTAAATCAAGTCCGCGTCAGAGGAAAGGGAAAGATGTCACCTGGAAAAAAAACAGAGCCCAGCTCGCTCTCCCTCAAGCCTCCGTATGGATGATATGTCCAACGGTGTGTACACACAACATGCATTATGCATATCGCGCATGAATTATTTGCTCCAAATTAAATAGCTGCTTTCTGCATGAAAAATGCATGGTTGTGCAACTTTAAAACAGTTATCCTGGCAAAGGTGTTTCCCCTGCCTCTGACCTACTTTTTGCTGGTTACAGGCTCCAACAGGGAATGTGGGATCGAATCATTTTCAGCTGCTTAAGTTTTGTTCTTTTTTTAACGATTAGTACATGAAATAACAAACTCTGAACAGGTAGATAAATGTTAATGTGAGAACAAGAAGGCAGCAGTGAACCTACCTCCCGTTTTGCAAAACCGCCAGACTTAAACCCCATAGAGCGTGCATTTTATCGATTGAAAGAGGCGAATGAAGTGCCCCCCACCCAAAAAAACAAAACAAAGAACGACCCCGATAAAGATGAGGGTTTTCCCAGCACTCCACCTCTGTTCGGTTAGTCCGGGGGTCGGCAACACGCGGCTCTCGAGCCGCATGCGACTCTTTGGCGCCCCCCGGTGGCTCCCTAGAACTTTTTCAAAAATGTTTGAGAATGGTAAAAGATTTTCGTTTTAATATGGTTTCTGTC